TAGAGAGAAGTAATGAGCATAAGTGACACCCAGCTACTATAAAGTGAACTGGGTAAAATCCCAAGCTCTGTTAAGTCAGTGCCAAAAGCCTTTTCAGTTTTAGTGATACCAGCGTATTCACCAAAGGCCTTTTATAAAAGAGTGGATAGTAAGGTTGTATTTAGGAGCTGGGGAAGAGTTTTTTATCCACAGATTTAGGACAGAATATCACATTTCTAAGGATAAGGGAGAAAAGAGTGAGATTTTTCTGCACATAAGAAAAGGAAAACTTATCCCACCATGAGTTTATGAAATCTCACCTGGATTTGAGTCTGCTAAGTAAAAGCTATACTATACCTTGATCCTTCAGGCAGGTATTAGGTTGGTCAGCTGCCAGTTCCCGGGGAATGAACCTTCTGAGATCATTTACATTCATCCCAGTTAATCAATTAATGTTTGTAAAGCATTTTAAACTTGGAAAGCAGTCCTATAAATATTTGGTATTATCATATAATTACACTACCACATCTCAATTAAATGCACAATTGGGCGTGCTTTAATTATGCAATTGAAGTGTCACTAGAAATATTTCAAATGTAGGTATCAGTCTGTGCTGACCATCCTCAAGATTGTATGTAAACCTGAAGCAAAATGAGAATTCTTCACTTTGGAAACCCTGGAGAGCCACTGTCTCATCAGAATTAGTATCTTTTTCCTGAGAACCAGAAATACTTTTTTTTCAAGAGCTACAAATACAGGTAACTTTTTGCTTCTATTTGACTTGCATCTTCAACACCTGTGGGCAGTGCAAGGACTAGCTTGCTTTTCTGTTTGTTTCTTACTTTACTGCCTTCTCTCATTAGTATAACAGAAAAAGAATGTCACTAGTCATCTTGTCTCAGATCCATATCCTTTGGGGTTATGCATGCTCAGTTGTCTTTATACTGTGCTATATAATGTACTGAAATAAAATAATTACATGCTGAAGCATTCTCCACTTCCTCCAGAGGGCAGAAAAGACCTTAAGCCTCAAATCGTGATACCTATGTTGCCATCTGATTATCAGCAATATAATTGCTTCCTACTCCATTGATGTCATTCTGAATAGTAAGCTTGTTTATATCAGCATTGACAACCCAAGTAATGGTCTCTCTTTAGAAAAAAATAAGAGGAGCAATTTTACATTAATAAGATTTTATATTGCTTTTTTCATAGTGCATTTCACAGTTCTAACTTTAAAATCTTTGGAAACTCAGTTACTTCTAAGCTTTTCTCCACAAACATAAGAGCTATGAAATTATGGATTTTTGGGGGGGTTGACTTTTCTATTTTTTTTTTACTTTTCTAGTGAAATCAGAAACATTAATGAACTCTCTTGATTTATTAGATGAAGTAGTGGCATTACTAGATGGCAGTAGTGTTACCATACTTCCCATTCCTCTTTTTTTTCCTCTCTTTTGGTGTTCTGACTTCTTCACTCCTTGTCATTTCTTTTGATCCCAATTAAATACTTTCTGGGGAAATGGATAGTCAGTTTCTGTATATTTGTAAAGCACCTCTAGAAGACTGTAGGTGAGGCCTCTGGATGCAGTCACAACCAAGACAATAACATACGCATCTGGTATTTCAGCTTCATTGGCATCAGTTTGCCTTACAGTGAACCTAAGATATTTTCCAATGCAGAGCTGTTATTATTTCTTCTATATCTTTCTGGAATATCTGTACACAAGAGTCTCAACCTAGAGTCACAGAAAAATGTGAGTTTCCACCCAAATGATACCAGAAGACCAAAATATAAAATCTCTTTAGGGCAGGAACTACCTCTGAATGTGTCTGTATAGCATATGCTAACAATAGGACTCCAGTGAGGGTGTCTAAGATGAAATTACATAATGCATATATATATATAAAAGGGAATGTGTCATTACTGCAGTGTTAAGCTATATTTGGAAACCACAACAAGAAAAGCACTTTCTCCTTTTAAGAAAGGCACTTTCTCCTTTTTTTTTTTTTTTTCTTTTTTTAATTCTATATTACTGGGGAAAAGGTGTCTTTGATATATGAAGCTTTTTACGAGACCATCTTTCTATTTTAATAACTGCTAATTTGCACACCTAACATCAATTGCTGGTGCAATTAATTGTGGATGTAAATGAGAATGTTTAGCTGTCTAATCACCTGATTGTGCCTATAAATCAGTGACATTAATTATGTGTGTAAATGCTCATTTCAACCTGCAATTAATTTGGCCAAAATTGATAGGACAGAAAGAAATACCACTCACTGTACCCTGAAATTTGGTCCCCAGTGCATTAAAAGAGAAAGTATCTTCCTCCTCTGCCTCTTGTGTCTAAACTGCAGAGAGATGAGTAGGCAAAGAGCAATGATTCCCTTGTCCCCAATAACTCACTGCCACTGTTTCACGATAAAGTGCAATGGGAGAGGAAATATTTCCATATGGGTTCATTAATCACAACATATTTGCCATGCACAACCACTCTGCAGAGCAGGTAAAGAACCCCAGGGGACCTTGCCTGGCACAGCAATAGGAAAAGTATTTTTTGCACAAATGCTGTAGAACTCAAGTTGCAGATGGCTCCACTGGCAGAGCTAGAGCCTTCTGGCACAATCCTAGGCAGCCAAAGCTACTTTAGGTATTTATAGCAGGGGTTAGTGATATCTTGAAAGGAGGATGCTGAAGATGCTTTTGTGCTTGCGCTATGTGCAGTATTCCCAGGTATGCTCCTTGAGAGGACATGTGAGGCAGGCCAAACCAACCCCACCCAAACCAACCCCACCCAAACCCCAAACTGCAGAAGTCCTACCTGTCCCTGTTGTGCTGCAGAACTCTAATGAGAGGTCTAGGAACAATTAAACTGATTGTGACTAAGAACCTGAGGGTCCAATGGACCCCATTAGCAGAACTGCACTGCAAAAGTTGCCTTTCCAGCTCAGTGACTTCTTTGATATCTGGGCAGCATGCCATTTCACTTCAGTAACCCTGAGGACACTGGAAAGCCCCTGTTATCCCATCATATTCTGACCCATTTAGAACTGCTCAGTGTTTTGCATGAGAGGTAGGGCTGCTGTCTTGTTTACTGTTACCTCTGTGGTCTCGCCTCCGAGTGCTTCATTGCTGCTTCACTCCCACGTGGGACTTTCATAAAATTCAAAGCCACCTGGTGTGATTTTAATTTAAATGTGAATTTAATGTGTTTTCCTTTTATATTGCTATGATGTGCATTGTCAAGAGAAATGCTGCAGTCTCAGATCTGGCCTCTCAGCTGTTTCTCTTTGCTACTCCCTGGGGTTTTTTTGATGCATATTTCTGAGTAAAGCCGTTGCTCTGTGGTGGCATGTGCATTGGGTACAAGGGTTCTGTGGGTAAAAGCACAACAGTTATTCTTCAAGGGGACAAGTGAGTCTTGAGCTGTTTGCCAGTCAGAGGTCAAATATGTTCTCAGAAGCAGAAGATACCTGCAGTTACAGCTAAACAAAAGAGGGATGAAAGGTTGCATGCAGCCTATATAAAAAGAGATTACACAATTCACCATGCTCCACCAGTTATAAAGAGCATTTTAAGACAAGAAATTGTGAAAAGGAGGATAAATACTGAAACATTAGATCTTAACCAGTTCAATGGCAGAGGGGGTGGAAGTAAGTGATCTTAAGGTCCTTTCCAACCCTGACCATTCTATGATTATATATTGCTAGTGGTTAAAATTTGCTACAAATATTCTTATTAGAAAACATAATTTCACTAGGAAAAAAAGGTGCTTGATATCATGTCAAAAAGATCAGAAAGAAATGCTTTCAGGACAAGGATCTGAAAAACATGAAGAAAAAGAGATTCACATCAGTTAGTACCTCAACAGGGCATCATGTTAGGATGCAGGACATCCTGACACAAGACAATATCTTAATCTTCAGAATTTTTCATTATGTGAGCCTTTTTTTCAGCCAGCCTTAACTAGTTTTGAACTTAAATTGTAGGAGCCTGGTGGGAGCCTAAAATTTCTGACACAGAATAACAGACAGCAGATCAGAATAACAGAGCAGATCAACAGCCACCCAGAGCAGTTGTTGTGCTGTAGCGCAAGTGTGTCATCGGACACCACTTCAAGCTCTTCAAAGGTCATGAAAAGAATCACAGCAGATGGGTAGCTTGGCCATCAGAAGACATACCATGTTTTCTAAAACCACACATTGTTCCTGCACCCACTGAAATCTATTTAATTTGCTGAACGCTGTTTGTCTCCCCCTAGTCTTGCACAGGCCATCAGAGCTGACGTGTTTTCTGACCATTACTTCTCTCAACTGCTGGTTACTACTGCCAGCAGCAGCAGCCTGTTGGGCTCCTGGCTTCTGCTTCTTCTCCCTGCTGCTGCTACATGAGAGCTATCGTAGTGAGTCATTTCTAATCACCAAGGGAACCCACAATCACATCTCCGCTCCTCCTAAAATAGGAACTCACAGCTACATCTCCTCTCCTCCTAAAATAAACTATGAGAAAAAGCACTATATATTTGGCAGTATCTGAAACATGATATTCAATGCATTAGGTGGAAAAACAGGACAATGAGCTCAGCCATAGTAGAGCCTCAGGCTAAGACCACCCCTGGCTTGCAGTGCAGGTGGTCTTCCAAGTCCACATAGAGCTGCTCAGAGAAGAGTTTTTTGAAGACACCATTGCAGAATCAGCCTTTTTCACCCATTATTTGAAACACCTGAGGGAGGCCACATGATCAACACATGCCTTTAATATTTCAGTTCAGAAAACTGAGTTCTTAAATACTATTTAATAAGACAATGCTAAGCTTTTTAAGTGTTTTTTATGAAGGAAACTGTCTTCAATGTAGTTTACTCTCATTATCAACTATTATCATTGCAATACAATAATTCTTTTAAATAAATGTTCATTATTTTTAAGTACATTGAAAAAATGTTGGCAATTTTCAAGCAGAAGTGTTACCTGTAAAGTCTCATTCTGCATTTCTATAATGTCTCTCTTTTATTTCTAGGTATTTCCACACAATATACTTGGGCATCCGGAGTCGACAGAGTGGAGAGAATGACAGATGGAGGTTTTATTGGAAAATGGTGTATGAGTATGCAGATGTGAGTATGCTGCATTTGCTAGCCACATTTCTGGAAAGTGCACCACAGCTGGTCCTGCAACTCTGTATTGTTGTACAGACTCGTACACTCCAAGCTCTCCAAGGTAGGCAGTCATTTATTCTATTTGTTTTTTATCATTTCAGGAAGATATAATTTCTATAACTACGTATTTATCCTTCTTTCAAACTGCTGTGTGCCTTGTACTCCTGACATAAGACCAGATCTTGCCTTCTAGCTGCTATTAAGCTGTTAACAATGACTCTGTCAGAAGCCTGTATTGTTGGAGTTTTAGGTTTGTTTTTTTTTATTGGCCCTGGGTTGTAGGTAGGATTTATAATGGTTTGTTTTCTGCATGTGTTTATAATAGAAGAGCTCTTCTGATTATCCACTGGGCCAATGTGAAAATTGCATCAAACTATTCCTCTTCTCCCTGTGCTGCTTTCTGTGAATGTGCAAAACCTTCCAAACTGCAGTAATGAGGTTCATGTGGTATTATGCAAAACATAAAATGACACACAGGAAAACAGCTATTCTGTGAAGAAAAGGCCAGTGTCTATGGAATACCTGTCCATCAGTTCTCTGCCATGTTTAGCTGAAATAATACAAGTCATCATCTGAGCATTACAATAATTCTCATTCCTTCAAAGTCTGAGTTTCCTTCTAACACTTTCAGCAAGCATGATTACTTCTTTAGAATGGTAAATGCATGCATATGGCCTGCCATAGGGTTTTGTCAATCAGTGATACAGAATTTCTCCTTTTCTACTGCTTTTTTGATGCTACTTTTGTCTACCTGACAGCTTTCCTTTTGTATTGCACCATTGTTTTGCCTTATGGCTGCACCTGGGCAGAAATTATTAGCAAGAGAATGAGGTGAATGAGAACTTGGGATCCAGAAAGTGAAAAAATGTCAGGAGGTGCAGAGGAATGAAGAGAGGAGGGGAGAAGGAGTGGAGGGAAAGAAACAGGAAGGAAATGCAGCAGTTTTACCATTTGTTTTTAAGAAACAATTTGGGCTGGCCACTGTATAAGATAAAATGGTGACAGCACCTTGCTCCAAGAAGTTAGAATCTTATGAATAACATTCAGCAACACTGACCAGGTGAAAAAGGACTAGGAAAAAAGTGGGTAACTGTGTGAAGACCTTCTTCCAGGGCAGTTTCATGAGGATATATCAGAGGCTTTTCATTTTCCTCCCCTTTGAACTGCTGCCTGGTAACAGCTGCTCTGCTTCCTGTGTTTTTTGGTCTTGTTTCTTTAGCTGTAAAATTCTGTCACCTTAAGGGGAAAAGAAAGCCCAAGTTTCTTTTTTAATTAGCTGGGGCTTCGTATAAGGAAGGTTGCCTAAGCACTTCCTACAGCTATTTTTCAAAATGTTGCTGTCCCACACCAACCAGTCTAAACTGTTATCATCCAGGAGAAGGTGTCATCGCTTCAAGAGGCTTTGTCCCCCCAGAAAAAGAGAGTCCAGAGAGAGGCATAAGAGAAGATCATAGCCAGAATACTGTATGGTCAGCTGTAATTTAGCTATCTTCATAAACTATTAATGCAGAAGGCCTCTTGCCCTCATTTTAGTGTGGTAACAGATCTGTTTATGAGAAATGTGGCTGGTGAGTAGGCACTAAGCCTGTGATGTACTCTGCAAGTGGTTAATTAGAGAAAACCTGAAATACTTCAGTTTAAAAGGCAAAAATAGTTCCCGAAGCCTGCAATCATCTCTGTGAAATCTATGTATCAGAAACCAGAAAGAAATAAGCTGTAATTATGGATTTCAGCTGAGAAGGCTGAAAATATTTACTTGTCTTCTCTTCCCCCATTTTATTCCATCATTCAAAGAGAAAAGGCTCCATTAAAAAAAAAGGCAAGAAAATTAAACAAGGTCGTAACATTTTCTTATTCAGTAGTACCGTTATATTCTCCTGATGAAAGCTAATATGTACATTGCCAGCTGTGAAAATCCTTTTTCCCTTTCCACTCCTTTTTTGAAGAAATGGTGAGGATAATGCATCGCACTATAGGATGGTAGATTTGCTGTGAGGTTGCATAAGGAGAGTATAATTTCGTTCAGTGGCATCATGCGACAACTGGGTGTTTTAAAAGGCCTGGCCATGAGGTATATGCTTCACCTAGCTGTCCACTCACTGAGCCTGTTATAGAGATTTCTAACATGGATCAATAAACAGAGCGTTTGATTGATTTTCTTTGTTTAGAGAATGCTACTTGAGTTTTATTACTGTTCTTTTATTTCTCTGTCCGACAGGACAAAGTTAGCGTGACAACTGAGAAATTCCATCACTAGTCCGTGTTCTTAAAAGTATAATTCCATCACAAACCACAAATTTGGCATGGGAAATGAATGATACTGGAAATGTCTTGGTCTATAAGCAGGGTATTTCTAATATCAAGGCATTAATGACCACAGGAAAAACTGTTAAATATTTTACTTATGAAGTCGTATGTCTTCCATTCCGAATGCACCAAAGTAGCATCATTCCCAACAGGAGAATGATGTCAATGTGACTGAAGATTCCCTGTTTTGTACTGGGTGTTGGTGAGGTGTGGATTATTTATTATTTCAGACCTTAAGCCCTGATAATCAAGGTAAGAAATAGTTACTGTCATGAACATACGTTCTTATGAAGATCAAGAAAAATATTGCGCAATGTTTACAAATCCTTCCCTCTCAGTCTTCTATACACTGCAGTGAGGGCCACTTTAAACCGCTTCACTTTTAGTCTTCCATACACTGCAGCGAGGGCGACTTCAAATGCCCAGGGGATGCACCACAAGGATCCTTTAGCTCTTGCCTGGGCTACCCAGGCATGAGTTTAAAACCTGCAATGTAAACTTCTGTCAAGGGTTGTGTACCACTGTACCACGACTGCTGCAACAGAACATTGCTTATGCAGGAGGCCATAAACAGTCATTATGGAGTGTCAATTCCAAACTGCATAGGCACCCAGAGAAATCTGGGTACTGATAAAACAGTATCTAAACTGTTATCTGAAAATCTGGTTATTCTTTAAGATTATGTCAAAACTGGCACCATTAGAGGCAATGTTCTTTCTTATTCTGTTCACAATTTGCAATCAGGTCCCTCTTAGTTTGCAAGGAATGAAATGGCATATGGGGGAAACTGATGATTTCTCAATGCTAGTTCCTCAAAAAGACAGCCAACTTCAGTATGATGCTGGACTAAGCTGGAACTGTGCTAGCCCCCGTTACCTCCACCTTTTCCACCCTGGTAGTTTCTTTGAGCTTGAAGACATGTCTACTCTCTAGAAGACAGATGTGCCTTGAAAATAAGTAGCTCCTCAGTCTTTTCCTCATGGGAGTCTGTTTCCCTTCCTTTCTTTTCATATGCTCTGAGCACAGCACTTCCACAGCAGCTTCTCTGCTGAGCCAGCAGCACCTCCAAACTGCATTACTTTCTTCTTTTTTTGACTTTTTTTTTTTTGTTTCTCCTCTCCTTAGTTACTCTCTAGGAAAGTCACATCCTAAGCAGCTTTGGTGGGAGTCACGAGCTGCACCAATCCTAGGTGGGAACTATATGAGGCAATGAGGCATGTGTGGGAAGCAATGGCAGAAAATCTGCTGAAACTGATGCTCATCCTGCATCCACCTGTTTGCATAAGGGCATATATGTGGACAAAAGTGTCTGAACAGGCTGCAGATGAGCTAGTTCAGCTACTAGAAACAGTCTTTACAGCAGTAGCCTGGAGGCCACGGTGGGCTAACTGAACTCGTGCCAGCCCACATATGCCAACTGCTTGAAGTTCCTTGTGACCTGGGCCCTTTGTCTTATGCTTTCAGTTCTTCTCTGAGGGCTGGGCAACTATGTCCTGCACTGGATCTGCCTCCAAGTCACAGGGAACTGAAATATCATAGTTGAAAGTCTTTGGATTATTGGATTACCCCAATAAATTCAGAAGGCTGCAAGCAATTCCCTTAAAAATGCCTCTGCCCTTAAGCCAATTAGTGAATAAACTGTAGTTTCACAGTCTTTGCCTTAAAAAGCAAACACTTCCACAGTACACTGCCATAGACTAAACATTAGGCATGTTTGCTGACACAGTAAGCTCAGTCTAGCGGCTATGAGACCCTTCCTTGGTTGTGTCTGGACATCCGTCATAATGGCCACATCTCACTACATTTGCTCCTGTGGTTCAAGAGGTCTTAGGGCTGACAAAGGGATAGACAGACCTGGACTGGCATGTTGACTCAGTGGGGTTATTCCACAGTCACTTGAAGCCTGCTTAGTTGTTGCCTTCACCTGAAAATCTTTGATTTATTCATGGAAAGTCCTGCCAGCACCTCACCCAAACTGCATGCTTCTGTCGTGTCACTGGCATTCCCATGGCCATACACTGGGTCCCTCAGACACTTATTCTCCCCATTGCTAACTTGGTTGAGGCTCAGCAGGAGCCAGCTGTACTCCCCAGGGCAGCAGAGTGTCACACAACTGGCAGTGCCAGCCCTGGGGAGGCAGGGGCGACCTGGCATCAGGGTGGATAGGGAAGGTCAGGCCTGTCCCTTTCTGTCTCACCTCAGTTTGGAACCACACCTGCAGACTGGCAGTAACCCCCTTGGCACTCTCCTTTTGCTTCCTTTGATTTTCCCACTTTGTCATTGGATTTTAGAAAGATTTCTCATCTTGAAATTAGTAAAATCCAGCAAGCAAAAGCACCTGCTGATGATCTGATTGGAGAGAGACTCCTATCAGTTAGCATACAGTTACCGTTGTGTTATTCAAGGGCATGGTACTCTAGCTGCTCGTAGATGAGCAGGTTGACAAGATTATTCCCTGGATTTACCACAGATTTCATTACTTATTCTGTATTAATTAATATATTGTTTAAATTATAGATTAACTTCTCATTCCTGTTTACTGCATATTATGCTGGCTAGTCAGCACTTGACATTTTTTTCTTCATCAGCCCCTGGGGTGGCTTGTTCTGACTTCTCCATACAGTACTATTAATCAAAGTCTTTATCAAAGTTTAATCAAAGTCTAAGTAAAGTTTCTACCATATAAAGCTGCAGTTCTCAGTGTAGACTGACAGTAGTGCAGCAGCCAAACGAGAACTTCAGAACAATCTATAA